CATTAAATATATTGTATAATTTACATGTTTAGCGCGTTTACTGTTATTCATTGTATTCAATATAGGATTGGATTCTCGTAACAGTGTTTGCGTATTGTTGGGGTTGTGAGTGAGTGTGGAGTGAATGAGCGTAACGTTATATTTGAGCGGTTATTGTTTATGACAACAAATGTCAACAAAAATCTGTTTCGTTTGAAACAAACATTTCTGTGAAAAAAATTAGATTCAGTTTTAAATACAATTGATTTGAATGTTTGACTGAAAGCGGAGACCCATTGAAGACCTTATCATTTGATTAGCTGTGGATTGTGTGGACACAAGAAGAATATATTCAATGCCATTAACGCCACAATTAAATGACTATCTTTTGTGTCACATTTGTTTCAATCAGTTCTCAAACCAAAGAAAGCCCTTCACTCTCGTCTGTTCCCACACCTGCTGTTCAAACTGTCTTCAGGTCCGCTATTGTCCGCAATTGTCACCAATCATTGAATCCACTCTTTATGTCCTCTTATAGTCAGTCCAAAGCTGTCCTTTCGATTCGACGCCCATTGAGACCAAACTGCCCGAAAATGAGGCGATTCTGGGATTAATTCAGACCAATGGCTGTCCTCCTAATGGTTCCCAGTCTTCACAACCAAACTCCAGACCTAATGACAGAATCGGTGTCCAGAGCTATGAATGTGTTGAAGTCAAAGACATTCCCTATTATCGCAAATGCATTGATTGTATTAAACAAATGGCACTTCTCTTACGACCTCAACAACAAAGTAAACGTCTTCTCGTCTTATAATGAATTGCATTTGAATTGAATTTGATTTGTATTTCAGACCAATCGTTGTCGCGTCCGATGCAAAGAAAATTGATAACTCTATTGCACTGTCAGATCATTGAGGGCGAGGGCCGCACCCGTGCCCTCAGGAACGTCCGCTCAATCGGCGAACGAGCGTTGGCTGAGCTGCTCGTCAAACATCAGGACTCACATCAATTGAGGTTTAATTGGATTTGATTGCATTGTTTACATGTTTAGCATTTTTGCATTTACTTTGATAGTTCCAATTTATGGGCAGCTGTGAGGGCCCGGGGCTGTCAGTTCTTGGGACCAGCCATGCAGGAGGAGGTGTTAAGGTTTGTGCCGATTGTGTCAACAATTGATTTATTATTGAATGGTTTATGAATTGTATGAATAGATTAGTGTTATTGGCTTTGGAGGACGGAAGCGCTCTTTCGCGCAAAGTATTGGTTATGTTTGTAGTGCAACGACTGTCGCCTCACTTTCCACATCAGGCCAGCAAAACAGCGATCGGACACGTTATACAACTCCTATACCGCGCCTCTTGTTTTAAAGTAAAACTTTAATGGTTTTGAGTAAATATTAGGAAATATAATGAAATGATTGCAACAAATAGTTAACTAAAAGAGACGGCGACTCGAGTTTAATGCAACTCAAAGAGGAGTACTGTTCGTATGAAGCTTTACGACGAGAACACGACACGCAGATTGTGTCCATTGCTCTGGAGGCCGGTCTCAGGATATCTCCGGATCAGTGGTCATCGCTCTTATATGGCGATAGTCTTCATAAGTCACACATGCAGTCCATTATAGATAAAGTATTGTTTGATTTATAAACATTTATAAATTTGATCTCTAATTGTGATTACGATTTCAATACGAATGTATGATTAGCTCCAATCTCCGGCTTCTTTCGCACAATCCATTCAAGAGTTTGTCATTGCATTGCAAAGGACTGGTGATCCGTCGGGTTTGGCCGCTATTAAACAACCTTTGGAGAGACTGGCGCTCATTGATCCGAGTTCTACACACGGTCTGTATATCTATATATTATTTACTCATATATTGTATAACTGTTAGTATAATGTAATAATTGTTGATAAAGTGGTGAATCATCCGACGCTCGAAGAGTTGTCTGAATCGCTTGAATGCGCCAAAAGTATAACATTTGAATTGATTGAGTTCTTGCAACGATTCACGCCTTCATATAATAATTCAACCAATAATAACATTAATAGTCGGAATAAAATGGCCACAAATATGTGCCCAAATGGTAATCAGAGGCCGAGAGTTAGTCGTGTGCGGCCTTTAATGGATGAGCACTCGATTTCGCCTCATTTTAATGGCGAGACGTTGTCAACGATATCAGTGAGACATCCATCGCTGCAACAAGTGGTCCGGCCGTGCGCTTCTGTGCCGCCCTCCAGAATCATTAGGGCTACAAATCTAGCCGTTTCACCGCCTATGGGCCCAATGGCTATGAGTGCGCACTCATTGCTCACTTCCACACCACCCGAATTGATGAGCAATGAGTCGCCGCCAACCCATTTGAGTGCAATGCAAGCAATTCCAGTGTTGGTCACATCGGAGGCATCGCATGCATTGATCCAAAACGCAGGGCCAATGGGTGGGTCTCTACTGACGTGCGGAATGAGTTCTAACCTCCCTTCGGAAGACGACCAAATCATACCCTTCTCTGACCGGCCTTTTGTCTCAAAGTACGGTCCCGTGAGGTCTAAGTATACGTAATCGCTTGAATGCGCCAAAAGTATAACATTTGAATTGATTGAGTTCTTGCAACGATTCACGCCTTCATATAATAATTCAACCAATAATAACATTAATAGTCGGAATAAAATGGCCACAAATATGTGTCCAAATGGTAATCAGAGGCCGAGAGTTAGTCGTGTGCGGCCTTTAATGGATGAGCACTCGGTTTCGCCTCATTTTAATGGCGAGACGTTGTCAACGATATCAGTGAGACATCCATCGCTGCAACAAGTGGTCCGGCCGTGCGCTTCAGTGCCGCCCTCCAGAATCATTAGGGCTACAAATCTAGCCGTTTCACCCCCTATGGGCCCAATGGCTATGAGTGCGCACTCATTGCTCACTTCCACACCACCCGAATTGATGAGCAATGAGTCGCCGCCAACCCATTTGAGTGCAATGCAAGCAATCCCAGTGTTGGTCACATCGGAGGCATCGCATGCATTGATCCAAAACGCGTCGCCAATGGGTGGGTCTCTACTGACGTGCGGAATGAGTTCTAACCTCCCTTCGGAAGACGACCAAATCATACCCTTCTCTGACCGGCCTTTTGTCTCAAAGTACGGTCCCGTGAGGTCTAAGTATACGGGCGTTAATATGATCAACACTCCAACTATGACTGCACCCGGAAATGCAATGTCACAGCAGTTGGTCAATACAGGCGCCCGAACACAGCCTACAAACGTTATATTAGGTCGTTCTGCCGTTCCCTCACTTACACTCATACAACCCCTTCAGATCCTGACCACAACTTTCTTAACTGATCCCAACTCTAACCCCCAGTACGGGAGGACTGCTTTCATAACTGATCCCAACTTTCAAAACACTTATGTCTCCGGTTTGATGGACTTAGAGTCCAGTGAAACACATTTAAATGGTTAACCAATGCTAACACTTCGCCCAATATATTATATTATCTATTATTATCACAATTACTGACAAAAATAACAGTAATTTTGTTACTGAAAGAAACAGATTCTTATAAATTATTATTGAAAATATTGTGTTATTTAATGAAAACTATTATTAATATTATTGTTAAATATTTAAGATCTTAATGTTTTGCTCACTTTTGAGCCGAAAATTGAATTTATATTAAATGGATATATGATATGGTTTTTGTCTTATCGTACGATCGGTTCCAATGGTACCAAAATTATTAGATATCAGTTTTAATGATATTTTATTCCTTAAGAAAGTTTAGTTTTAATGAATTTAATCAATATTTTTAAATTGTTATAAAATAATTAAATAGTATTTTAACCCATGCTTATAATTAATGATCATGTTGTTAATTATAATAAAATGGTATTATTGTAATTACTATTATTATATTAATTCGAAATAATTATTTGAATTTGTATTAACTTTTTGTTTTGAATACTTTTATAAAATCCAATCAATAATTTGAATTCAAATGACCGAAAAAATGTCAATTAATTTAATGTATGTTTTGTTCATTATTTATAAATGATTTTATGTTAACAATTGTTTCAAAAATAATTTTAATGTTTTTATCGATAAATTTGTGCAGAAAATCAAAATTCTATTGAATTTTAATAAATGTTTAGATTTTTATAAATATTTTGTCAATTATTTTAAATTATTTTTCATTAATTGTTATCAGTTTTGAATAAACTAATAATACTATTTAAATGCATTATATAGTAAAGTCCATACACAGGAAATTAAAATGACCATGATCATATTCTATTTATTGTATATAATATCTTCAATCATAGTTACAGTGAAAGTCATCATGGTTATTTTTTTAATTGTAATTTTCCAAACATTTATTAAACATCTTTAATAATTGTATTGAATTAATGAGTAAAATAGTGTCAATTTGTTGGATGTTTTAGAGTATTAGATAAAGTACTTATTGGTTATGGGATTGAATGCATGCGTTAAAAGATATTGAGAAAAAGCGACACATTTTGTGGCAATTTATGAGGCCTTTTGATATGTTAGCAAACTTAGGATATCATAGACTTCGCTGCAAACAACTGGCGTTCAATTACTGCTAATATTTTGTTGAATAAATTGTACGAAAATTCATGAAAATCTTCTATAAATAAGGCATTTATTGCATAACAATATATATAACACAACCGACACTTAACTACAGTATATCTAACGTTAAAAAGAGTTTTGTTAAACAATTTTATACTGATTTTTGAATACATGTCTGGCAATGCATTGTAAAGCCATTAACAGAATTAACGCATTCGTCGTCTCATAAATATATTTAGTATTTCGCTATTTCGATGTCTGCATTGAATATAACTAAAAAATGTTTAAATAACATAACCAGTGGTCGGGTTGTAATATTTGATGTATTTTAATGGGTCTGTTCTGTACGGCACAGACAGACAGACATAGTTTCAGACACTTAGGCTCTGATATAATACTAGCCATTGATAGGCGCATAACATTCTCATGGCTTTCAGACATGACATGTATTTCTAAATATTAATACATTTAAAATTAATATTTCTGTTTAGAAAAATCATTTTATGCGTTCAAATATCGCTTGATTTGATTGAGTTTTAATTAATTTGAGTTAAATATTGGCTAAATTGCGAGAAATAGTGAGAATACATATGAAATAAGTGTTTAGCGAAAATATGTGTTATGTTAATGGGTTTGAATGTATGGCTGGGAATGAGTGTTGAATTGGGAGTCGATTCCTCTCCTATTGTATTCGCAATATTTTCGTAGTGTTATGCAATACTGACTGTAAGCGATAAACAGCACTACTGAGCAGTGGTGTGAGTAGCCAGACATATGAGCGATAAACAGATTCAATGCACTGTCAATGCTAGCGCATAACACCACGAAAATATTGCGAATACAATATTCTCCTCCCTTTCGGTCATAAATCCAAACATTTTTGACAATTTTTATTAGTTTCAAGAATTTAAGACAACATAACATAACATAACATTACGAACCAAACGGTGTCTCAAATTCAATGCATTCATTGCTTACCACTTATTGTATTGTATTTTCATTTGAATTTCACTCGCATTGCAAACAAAGAGTTAATCAGTTNCAAGAATTTAAGACAACATAACATAACATAACATTACGAACCAAACGGTGTCTCAAATTCAATGCATTCATTGCTTACCACTTATTGTATTGTATTTTCATTTGAATTTCACTCGCATTGCAAACAAAGAGTTAATCAGTTGTGTTAACACAACTTTCAGTCCATTTGTTGTCATCTCTTCAATGCATTTCATTTACATTTAAATCAAACGTAAGTTTTAATTGTTTTCTCTTATCATTATTTATATCGTAAACTATAGTCTGTTATATATAACTAATTACTAATTATAAATGTATTTAATGTGTATTTATATGATTCATATGAATATCGAGTGAAACGATAGAAAAATGTAAGTTTTTGTTACATTTGTAGCGATTTATTGTCTATCGATCGCATTTATTCTTCACTAATAGTCATATTTATTACAAACTATTTAATTAACAATACATTTATTGCTAATAATAACAAGGTTTTAATTAATCATATAATTTATAATATGTTAGACATTATTATTATGTAAAATATTCAAACATTATCTGAAGACACACTGCGAGCACATCCTTGAGATTACATTACTTTTACTCAATTTTTATTCAAATTTTCACAATTTATTTCAACTTTTAATTTATTTGTATTTTAACTATTAGTTTATTAATAAAAAATTATTATAATTTTTTAAAAATAATTATCAGTTTAGTAACAATTAATAAAGATTTAAATATTTTATAAAATTACAAATTTAAGTGCAATTACTTATTAACAGTCTTTCTTTGATTTTGTTTTAATTGAATCTAAATTATATTTTTATAATTTATTTAAATATTATTGTAATTGTAATAAATATATCGAAATATAGCTTTAAATTAAGTTTGATTATGAAAACTGATAGTTTGTTTAAGGATTCTTTAATTAAATATTCAATTAGATAATAAATGAATTGACAAATTAATGTTTCGTTCAATGAATTTAATCATAACTTTTATTAGTATTAAAAATGTAAAAAATAAGTTTTTTGTTTAGAATTACAAAAAGTAATGCTAAAAGTAATGCTGAAAATATGGGCTCTCACTAGCGATCACACAAATAGCCCAAATGTTTGCAGACAGACCTTCAGGTTATTTAATGTAGAAAAGGATTACTTAAGGGAGCCTTTAGTTGCATCACAACTGGAAGTGATGTTAAGTTAACATTCATTGCAAACGTTGTTGAAATCGCGGACAAAGAGCTATAGATTTAGGCGATTCTGTATTAGTTATGAATTTCTCAGTATTGAGTCAGAGATGTTGGAGAGAAGTATTGGCTCCGAAGTGACCCCCACTCGACCCCTACCTGTTATGCCTATTACTCCTATTTTGGATTACAGACCATAACATAACTACAAATACATTAATTATTTTTATTACTATTATTTTCTTCCAAACCCTTCAGACAACAGACACTCAGGTCTAGAGAAAAGTCCTTCTATTTAACGACCAAACGCTAGGAATTGAAATATTTGTGCAAACAATAAGTGCTAAATCTTTCTTACTTTTTATCCATCATCCATACTCTCTCTCTCTCCTCATGTAATTATTAAAATCTTAATATTGAGAGTTTGATGA